TACTGAGTATTATTATAATACTTAATGCTGTGTAATTTAGGAAATAATGGCTGGTGAGATTCATTAATAGTCTAAATGAATCTCTAACATAACAAACATATCTTTGCCCATGATTGTTCCAGTGTATTATACCAATTAACAGATAATATGTGCCTCATTCATTATCTTTTTATTTAGCTGTAGTTAAAGATTTTTATTTTTAGTTATGCTTCTGTCCCAGATAAATTGCTTTCTAGGGGCAGGGCATTGTTAACAATTTTTGTAGCAGCAATGCTTCTTAGTTGGCAGTTATCGTGCTTTTTAACTGAGGTGATCACTAGCTCAGCAGTAGAAGAACCACTCCTGTGATTTCACTGGCACTCACATTGCTAGAAACAGGCTTATAAAAACTGCTTTGCACTTAGAGGGCCAGATCCTCAGCTGTTGTAAACCATGGCACTAAGCTGATGTACACCAGCTGAAGACTTGGCCCACAAGGTGTATTTTCTTCAGCATTAGCTGCACCAGCTCTCTTTCTCTTTTCATGTCTCAACTGTGCTTAAAATAAGAAGTGTGCCACAAGCAACAGTGCCACCAGCTTGGAAACAATTCCATTTTTCCAGGGGCAGCCATCAGTGGAGCTGCAGAAATGAACAATAACGTTCAGAATTGTTTCTCCATACAATGTCATGAAAAACTGGTAGAGAAGATGAAAAGTGGTACAACGTTGTCTGAGTCATACCCTTTGGGTTCTGACAACTGGAATCCCATCCAATCTAACCAGCCAGAAGGCTCAGTCAATACTTGGGTGAGGACTTGTCTTTATTACCCGCTGGATCAACTGGCGATTGATCCAGCAGGGGTCGATTTATCGCGTCTAATCTAGATGCGATAGATCAACTGCTGAGCGCTCTCCCGTTGACTCCGGTACTCCACCAGGGTGAGAGGCGCAGGCGGAATGGACAGGAGAGCATCAGCCATCAACTTACTGCAGTGAAGACACCGCGGTAAGTAGATCTAAGTACATTGACTTAAGCTACATTATTAACGTAGCTGAAGTTGCGTAATTTAGATCGATCCCCCTCCTCACCTAGTGTAAACCAGGCCTCAGAGATCTCTTAGGAAAAATTTTGCAGCAGCAGGTAAGTCATCACACTTTTGTTATGATTTTATTATATAATGCCAAAAGTGTGCTGGGTGCAACACAAACAAGCAAGAGGACAAATCCAATGCCCCAAAAGCTTGCAATCTAATTAAACAACATAGAGAAGAGAAAGATGATGAAACAAAATATTAAGCAGTGAAGTTTAATACTGGTACCTGTTCTGTTAGTGCCACATACCAACCTGTGGCTTGGGTATTTCCTGGAATCAAAATCTACTGAAAAGTTATAATTTTCTACTACATTCTAGAGGGTTTCCCATGCAGGGAATTCCAGGATCGTTCTGCAGAAGCATCTGATACTCTTCACCTCTGAGTTATTTTCTTCAGTAGGAGCAGTTGGGTGAAAGCACCCGTATCTGAAATGCAGTTTGCGGAAGTACACAAAAAGAAAAAAAATTGCACTGGGCAGCTGCGACACTGAACAATCATAAAGCCCATGACCCCCTTGGTATCAATCTGGAGATATGACTGAATGTCTCAGGGACAAAATTCTTTGTCTGATTCTGGTTGATATTTAGTGAAGAAACTTTCTGTGGCTATAAATGTCTTTATTTAGATAGATATGGAGAAATAAAAGGTTAGAAGAGTAATGACAGCTTGTTTTATCTGCATGCAGGAAACAATTTGCTAGCAGAGAGTTACGGTGGTGTTTTGGGGATCTTTTACTGTTGTTGTGACAGAGGATACACAAAAACAGAGGATACGTTTTATGGATTTTTCTAAGCATTCTTCACATTCTTTTACCTCCTAGTGACAGTGACACTAATAGCTTGACCAACACATTCCTTTTAACAAGCAAACAGATGGCTGGTGTTTAAATCTCTACCCTCCTGTGTGCAGAAGGATCAGATTCAGTGCTAACACAATGAGTTATACCTTATGTGGAGAGACTCAAATAGTAAGCAGGACATTGGGGAAACTGGGAAACTTTTGGGGATTTTTCTAACATTTCCATTTCCTCTCTGAAAAGTTGTTCTTTAAATTGTCAGCTTTTGACACCAGACACTGTCAAGTGTGGCAGTCCATTTAGATTTGAGCACAACTCAGATCTTGACAAAGTCTGATTGGTGGCAGATAAGTTCCTTATCCACTGTACTTTGGTCAGATCTTCATTCTTCCTTGAAGAGCAAAATAATTCACCATAATATTGAAGGGCTGCACGCTGCCATCTTTACTCACACGGAGTAGTATTTCCCCTTGTGATTAGTCCCAATCATTGAGTCTATTCACAGGGGAAGGTACTAAATAACATGAATATGGATGGTAAAATCTATTAATAAATGAGTAGCTGGATTACTGATACCAACAAATAGCCGTGGCAGGCAGTCAAAATATGTATATACCAAGCCACAGATATTTTATAAGCTATGTCTAACATTTTCAAATTTGGTAGCCTAAAGTTAAGCATATAAATGAAGGTTGGAGATGTGGCCACTGTCTTCATTTCCCTCTTTTCTAGGTTGTTTAATTTAGCCCTCCAGTAAACCAAAGCCCACTCATTTTGGTATATTATCCGACAGTACAATGGTCCACCAGACTAGCCCATTCACATCTCACTCTGTCTTTCTGAGGTGTTGTAGCAAAATCAATAGAAATAAATGAAACCCTAAGTAAACAACTACCTCTCCAGTCTCCTCAGACATTATTGGTTCTCTACTGTAGGCTGGTGTCAAAGTCTCTTAATTCTCCCATTCTCAGGGCTTGTTAGATTGGCTGAGCAGGTTTCCAGAGCAAGGCAGGTCCTTTGCCTGGTTGCCTTTGTGGAGGGATATGCATGCTGTTCCTGCCCCTGGAGCAAAGAGACCCACAACAGGTTTTATTTCCCTACCATGAGTGAAAAGAGGCCTCTTTTTTTAATCCTGTCCCCTTTCCCAGAATATTCGCTTCCCATTTACAACACCCATATAGTCTAGAGCTGGGTATAAGAAGTGGTTGGGGGAGCCAGCCCCTTCTCCTTTTGGCAATAGACACTATGTATGCTTGTGCAGTGTGTGCCCAAGCTCTGCAGATGGGTGTGCACACTAACTACGTTTCATCCAAGCCTCTGCATCAAGAAGAGCTTGAAGCAGAACAAACCTGGGACCATGGAGGGATCGGGCCAGGGCAACATTCCCTTTCACCTGCAATAAGGCTCTGCCTGGGGACCCTGGATGTAGGGCATAAGTGGGACTTTGTTGACAGTGCCTGGGGGGGGGGGTGAGGTGGGAGATCCAGTCTTGAGCCATGTGGCTCCTTTCCCTCCCTGGCTGCAGAGCATCCTCTGAGCTGGCAGGTGCTGGGGCTGGGCCTGGGGGATCAATGATGGGTCAGTGCGGAGGGAGCCAGGGATGCTGTAGCTGGGACAAGGGAGGGGAGCTGGACACAGGTTAGGGGGAAGGCAAGGACAGGATGGGCTCTGCAGGGAGTCACCCCTGCTCCTGCCCAGCCACTATCTTGCTGCCTCCTATCCAAGCTCCTATCTATCACTTTCCCCCATCCACAAGGCTTGTTACCCTGTCAAAGAAAGCTTGACTGTTACTTATCACCTTATTATCATCTATATGTTTGCAAATTGATTGCTTAATTATTTGCTCCATTACCTTTCCGGATACAGAAGTTAAGGTGACTGGAAAAGGGCAAATATAGTGCCAATCTATAAAAAGGGAAATAAGGACAACCCAGGGAATTACAGACCAGTCTTCTGGAATCTCTCCTGTCTTCCATGACTTTTCAAAGATAATCGCTAATGGCTCAGATATCTTCTCAGTCAGCTCCTTGAATATTTTGGATGCATTTCATCAGGCCCTGGTGACTTGAAGACATGTAATTTGTCTAAGTAATTTTTAACTTGTTCTTTCCCTATTTTAGCCTCTTCTGAGACTACCTCATTTTCACTGGCATTCACTATGTTAAATGTCCAGTCACCACCAACCTTCTTGGTGAAAACCGAAACAAAGAAGGCATTAAGCACCTCTGCCATTTTCACATTTTTTGTTATTGATTCCCCACCACCACCCATTGAGTAATGGACCTATTCTGTCCTTAGTCTTCCTTTTGCTTCTAATGTATTTGTAGAATGTTTTCTTGTTACCCTTTATGTCTCTAGCTAGTTTGAGCTCATTTTGTGCCTTGACCTTTCTAATTTTCTCCCCACATACAGTACTTGTGTTATTTGTTTATATTCATCCTTTGTAATGTGACCTAGTTTCAACTTTTTGTAGGACTCTTTTTTTGATTTTTAGATCATTGAAGATCTCCTGGTTAAGCCAGGGTGGTCTCTTGCCATACTTCCTATCTTTCCTACACAGTGGGATAGTTTGCTCTTGTGCCCGTAATACTGTCTCTTTGAAAAACTGTCAACTGTCTTCAATTGTTTTTCCCCTTACACTTGCTTCCCGGGGGATCTTACCTACCAACTCCCTTCTTGAAATCCATTGTTTTTGTTTTGCTGCTCTCCCTCCTACTTTTGGGTGTGTTTTGTTAGTGTGATAGTCTGTTAAAATATGTATATATTAAATCCAATATGTAGTTTGTAAATAAATAGCAGCAATCCAAGATGGAGTTTGAACTGCCATCTTGTGACCGCCATCTTGTTGTTTACTGTTATCATAGCCCAGTCATAACTGGATCCAATTGGTTTTTCCCACCACTGGCAACTCCAAGGACAATTTTACCTCAGACTGTTTCCCACCTTTGCTGGGACTGTACTATATTTTCCTGCCACGAAAGGCATAAAAGGACTGAACTCACTGACAAGTGGCGCAGTCCATTCCAGTGACTGCATGTGCGCGGTTCAGGTCTTCACAGTACCAGTACATCGTTGAAGGGCACCCCCATTCCTGAGGTGAAGAGAAACGAAAGAAGACATTCCATCTTACCTGCTCCTATTCCTGGATACAACATCACCAGAGGGTTTCGGTCCGCTTCTTCCACTCTGAGACACTGAGGGACTCTCCAGTGCTCCTCCTCTGCGGGTTCCAATTACCCAACGAGTGTAGGTCCTGGACTTCACCGCCGCCACAGACGTGCTGACAACATAATGAGATAAACTGAGTTTTCTCAGTTGAGAGTTTATATATGTTATTGCCAGGGTGACTTGTATTTTGGGCCTGAGCTTCATGCTCCTGTTTTAAAGCTGCCGTTTCACTGTTTTGTATTGTTTATCTAGTTACTGTTTATTCACAATTACCCGTTCCCTGATTTGTAAATTTATCCCCCCAATACACTTACATGTTGCTTTTACCTTTACCTATTGCCAGTTTTTATTATTTGCACTACACATACGGAAAAAGGAGGGAGACCTGTACACCAGTCCACCGGTGACAGACAGGGCAGGTCTGCTCTTCTAAGTAAAAGGGGCTTGTTTTACATCTTGATACCTACATCATTATACATTTAGAGTTACCTTGGCTCCCCTTTGAGGAAACATTTTCTGGCAACCGCGGCAGGACTCTCTGGGGACTGGATTAGCTGTCTCCTTAGGGTCCTGTTAGGGTTATTTTTGTTTTGTTTTGTGAACAGCAGCAGTGTCGGTCTGTGAGACTCAGGGAGGGAGTCCATGCTGGGATTGTATTGTAATAGCCGAAGGGCAAGGAAATCGTTGGCTCTTTTCCCCTGCCTTTGGCAAGGCCGGGATTTATTCCCAGCCCCCTTTAAATCCTGCTACTGTGAACCAGGGATCGAGGGGACGCCCGGGCCCCCACATCAGTAGTAGGTAGCGACTACTGGTTGCCCCGTCCAGTGCCGTTAGTGCCTTTCCCAAGAGAGGATTGGTACGGAGTGGTCTGTGCCCCAAAAGGGTGGCCACTTTTCTCTTTGGCATAAGGAAGCATGTTAGGCTAGCCTAGCCTGGGACGAGGTGCTGCGTATAAGGGCGCAGTTTTCTTATCGAAGCGCTCCTATCTTTCTGAGTAACCCTTTATTTTCTGGAGTTGGGTAAGCAACTCCTAACAACAGCACAATGGACCGGATCTTTAGCCTGTGCAGATGGACTCCCCGGTCTAATAAAAACTCTTTGGACTATGCGATTAATTCATTTGGGAAGGAAGGAAATCCATGGCAGAAGGAATCATTAGCAGGAGATGATTCCTTGGGCAAATTCTCCGTCTTATGGGCTAGCTATAACACCAACAAGCCCAAGTCCAGTAAACGGGAGAAGAAACGAGCACTAATTTACGGCCTGGCCATGGTCGGCCGTGAGTTCAATTCCCAATTGGTGCTGCTTAAAGAGCAAGCAGACTAGAAAACTAAAGAGAGCAAGCAGCACATTCAGCAGGCTGAACAACAAGCCGCTGAGCTGCAAATGGCCAAAGCCACTGTGACCATGCTGACACTTCAGGTGGCTCAGCTAGAACAGCAACTGAGAGATCTTAGCTTTAAGGCTACAGCCGCTGAAAGGGCAGCGGAAATCAAAGCTCAAGAACTGCTGGGATCATAAGCAGCAGTTTGGCAGTTAATTAAGGAGATTGCTGATAGCCGGGAACAGCCTGCCTTCCATGTTGAATGCCAACGCCACATGTGTCAATTGCAGTTGTTCTTGCAATGGCCTAAAGGGTTAATGAAGGCAGTAGACACCAACCCCTTAGCTGCCATAACTGTAGACTGGTGTGAAAAACATCCACCAAAGAGTTGGTGTGAAAAGGAACGACCACCTTCTGCACCCCCAAGCTGGGAGGAGGTGGAAGCTGTTCAAAGAGGATGCCCGCTGGCTCCTGTAGTAACAACGGTTATCCAATTTGAGGATGCTGGGCAACCTCCCCTGGTAAAGCACGAGAGTAAAGCTCTCACACCAGAGCAATTTAGAGCTATGGGTCTATGTAATTGGAACACTGTGCTCAATTGGTTAGCTAAGTTCTCTGTAACACCGAATTTAACACAAGATGATGTGATTTGTGTGATGAAGGAGTGTATGTCCAGTGATGACTTTGCAGCATTACCTTACAATGTGTTAATTGAAGCAAATGAACAGCATGATATATATATATATATATATATTTATATATATATATATATATATATATATATATATATATATATATATATA